TGGTCTAGCTGGAGAATATAGCTCTTTGAGGACTGCCTGATGAGGACTGTTGTGTGAAAGGCAGTGTCAGAAACATCTGAGCAGAGACACTGTCACCTACTTCTGCCATCCCCTCAGGCAGATCTGTGATCAGGTGGCTCATCAGGCAGTGTGAAGTCTGTGGTACTGAACATCACAGCTGAATTGAACTTCCTCGCCGCTATCTACTTGCGTGGCATATGCCAATCAACAAGCTGCAAATACATTTATGAGTTTACCGATTTCCCTTGTTCACTGTGGCAGAGGGGAGATGCTGTGGCAGGGCATAACAATTGCTGAGTGCCTGTCTGTCGCTCCCCAGCAGTGCAGCTACCCCTCTCACCCAGTGCAGCTATGCCTCTGAAGGGAACAAAGGTCCCTCAACCCACTCTTGCTTAGCCTGGGAATGAAGGCCTGAGTATTTGTGATCAATGCTGATTGTTCTACTGGACTTGGCTCTCCATGGCAGTCACCACATGATCCATAGAGGCTGCTATGCACTCAATGCCAATGTCATGACATTAGATAGAACTTGCTAGGCCCCTCTGTCCTACACTCCAGTCTGTGCAAGGTCTCCGTCAGAAGTTCTCCTGCTTGCCTCTAGATCTCCATCAGCTTCTGAATGGCTGAGACCAAAGACTCATCATCTGACGTGGACTCAGGAGAGACCTGTTCTCCAGTCCTCAGTGTCAGACACCTCAGTCTTTTCTTCTACCTCTAGCAGTGGATTTGTGACAGTGCTGTACTCTCCCTGAGACCACTCACGATAGATTACCCACTGAGGTGGATTCTTTCTACTGATGGTGGGTGGAAGATGGTGGATGCTTTATGGCATTTCCTCTGAGGCTCATAATTATTTGTCCTCTGAGGCATACTCAAAAGGCTGGCAGAGTCAGGCCCTGAAGCTGAGGCTCTTTTATTATGTCCTGGTAATCCGGAGGCTGCATAGAAAAACAAAAATTTCTCAGTGTCAAGAGCTGCCATCTTTACCCAAGGCTTTGTCAGCGTTTAATGTTTACTGAGGCAGAGAAGATTGGAGGCTTTTTCATCAGATGGCTGTAGATATCCAGTTCTCCCTTCAGCACATGAATTTTACCCTTGCTATCCTGCCAGCTCAGTGGCCTGATCCTCAAGACATTCCCACTCACACTGCCACTGCCTGAATTTACATGCTTACCATGCATGTTCTTCTCTTATGGAAGGAGATGACCATTAACAGATATTAGCATGGGTAAATGAGCATGATGCCTGTATTATTGACGGATTTAGATAGAGACATTAGTCCACAGAGCTCTGATAGTCAATGTGCATAATTGCTGGATGAATGTGGTAGAGGGAATGTTAGCTATTAACAGACTCTGAATGCAGATGGGACTGGACAGGCTAAATGTTGGAAGAATGTTTCCGATGTTGGGAAAGTCCAGAACTAGGGGTCACAGTCTAAGAATAAGGGGTAAGCCATTCGAGACTGAGATGAGGAAGGATTTCTTCAATCAGAGTTGTGAACAAGGGAATTCTATACCACAGAAAACTGTTGGGGCCAGTTCATTAGATATATTCAAGAGGGAGCTGAACGTGCCCCTTGCTTCTAAAGGGATCAATAGGTATGGGGAGAAAGCAGGAGAAGGATACTGGATTACATGATCAGCCATGACCATATTGAATGGTAGTGCGGCTTAAAGGGCCTAATGCCATAGTCCTGCACCTATTTTCTATGAAAGGTCATCAAAGATTTACAGTTGGTGAAAACCAGATTAGCATTATGTGATGTGTGTGGCTGGGATACCTGTGAGGAGTTCAGCCTGAAGCCTCTTTTGTGTTTGTGTCCTTTCGGCGAAAAGCTTTCTGATTTGTGCATTAAAGTCAGTGAGCTGAAGGTACATTAACTGCTGAGTGTTGTAGCTCCTTCTATATTTTAAATTTGAACCATGATAGATTAATGAGAGGCAGCAGCACACTGTTGCCAGTAGTGTTATAGTGGTAGCTGCAGTGAATTGACAGACATTGATTGATTGTATATGAGGGAAATGATGGAGATGCATGGGCATTCAATCTTGTGTGTGATTGTCCTTTGCAATGGCAACCTCACAATGACAGCTCTAACTCCAGGGCATGGAGCATTGAATAGACAGTGCGCAGCAGATCACTCATCCTCTTGTGGCACTGGAGTCAAGTACTCCTGAACCACCCAACATATGCTGACTTCTTCAGCCTTCTCTGGCCTGTCGGGATTGCCTTCTATTGTCATCCCTGGAAAAAGAACTTCCCTTTTCTACTGGAGAATCTCTCAGAAAGCTACCATAGTGGGGCGGATATCTAACAACGATGAGTCAAAATACAGAAGGGAGATGGAGGGCTTGGTGACATGGTGCACTGAAAACAATCTGTCTCTCAACATTGGCAAAATTTAGCAACTGATCATCGATTTCAGAAAGGAGGAGAACATGTCCCCATCTACATTAATGGAACTGAGGTTGAAAGAGTGAAGAGATCAAGTTCCTCGGAGTGACAATAACTGACAACCTGTCCTGGACTTCCATGTAAATGTGACAGTCAAGAAGACACAACAGCACCTCGTCTTCCTTTGGCGGCTCAGCAAATTTGGCATGTCCATAAGGTCCCTCACCAACTTCTACAGATGTACCATTGAAAGCATACTGTCCGGGTGTGTAATGGTCTGGTATGGCAATTGTTGTGCCCAGGACCGTAAGAAATCACAGAAGGTGGGATGCACAGTCTAGACCATCACGGAAGCCAACCATCTATCCATGGACTCTATTTACATGCTCACTGCTGCGGAAAGGCGACCCAACATCATCAACGACCATCGCAGCTTGGTAATGACCTCCTACAACCTCTTCTATCAGGCAGAAGATGCAGAAGCTCAAACATGCACTAACAGGTTCAGGAACAGCTTCTTTCCAGCCATTATCAGACTGCCGAGTGGACTCTAGCCTCAAATGGTATAACCTGCAGTGTAACTTGTGTGCCTCTAAGTCGTTTTGATCTGTGCGTCCTTTGCTTGCTGTGATCTGCCTGTACCACTCGTAAACAAAGCTTTTCACTATATTCTAGAACACGTGACAATAAAATCAATCAATCAGAAGGCATCAGTGAAATGTGATGCTGCTTTTTGCCTTGTCTGTGACACCTCCAGGGATGTTTGAGGTGATGGAGTTGAGTGCTGGTCCTGGTTGCTGAGTGAGATGTTGGCTGGGTGTTGGTGGGGAGTAGAATTTCCTCCCCACCTACCTGTTAAAACGTGGTTTTCTGCTGTGCGTGCATATGTAATAAGCTGAGAAAGACATAATTGCGTAAGGAAAGGTGACCTGCCCTTGAGAAAAGGTACACTGCCTGCTTTTACATCCACTGCCACATTTCATCTCAGACAACAAGATTCTGTCTTCTCTCTACCCCTCTCATGTTTTTGTCTGCATAAGAATGGACTTGCTGTTTGATAAGTAATGATGGTTTACTTGTATATCCCAGTTAGACATTTTAATAAAGCCATTACAGCTCAGTGTCCTTTAAGCTTCTTTAGGTGCTAGCTGTCTCCAAGGTAATTGATCTGCACAACATATGTGATTGAAAGATATCACAGAATTGATCTTCACAATAGCAGGTTATAGTGAATTGTCTTTCTATTTAAATGGTGTCTTGTAATGTATAAGCCTCTTGTCAGTTATGTGCAGTAAATGACATTAATTCCTTTTCATTATCCACTCCAGCTCTTCAGGGAGATATATTAAGAAGGATCTCAGAAACTCAAACATGTACACTGAGTACTTCTATTTAGTGGAAGGTGAATATAATCAGCTCAGCAGCATTGTGATCATCAGTTCCTCATAAGCCTTGTTTGTCTGCACGTTTATGTGACATTGTTTTGAACAGAAAATTGAGACTACAAGAAATGAGACCAGTTAATCACTGTGTAAAATCATTATATTTTTATTACTTTTGTAGCATTTTTTCAATGATCATGAAGTAAATTTATTGAATCATCATGGTACTTCAGTCAATTCATTACAGTAATCTTTATTCATGTGATGCTCTTAATAATAGCCTGAGTAACAGTTGACTGGTGTAGCAACGTAATTGCAAAGCTCTAAAATGCATGGTAAAGTATCATTCAAATACATAAGGACTCTTAAAGAGTAATAACCTGCAGTTTATCTTTTGAAATTAAGCAGCAAAATCTCTGTTCAGCCATTGTCTGTTCACATGGTGACCTGTGTAACATCACTTTGTTTATAGATTACTGTTTTCAAAGTGTATCACTCAGTTCCACTACAGAAACTTTCAGAGGCCCTCTGCTGTGTGGGGAGACTACCTGGTGAACCCCAAGCATCCACCTTATAGGTTTGGCAGGAGAAAGTCCTGGTTGAGAACTCTTGTGGCCCACAGAAGTAATAATGACCACTCACGTGACAACACCCTCCCCACCTTCACCATTGACCCTCTGTGAGCCTTGCCATGGCCGCCCATGACCCCAAGGCTTGTGTCTAACACTGAATTGCCTGACGATGTGCAGTTCCAGCAGTGGCCACCATGCTTATCCTATGGCTCTCAATTTTAAAGGGACAGAAACTCCAACGATAATTCATTAACTACAAAACAGGCTTGAAAACCAACCAAGGCTTCCCAAAAAAGCTGCTGTGGGTTGTCCCTGACTTTCCAAATCGCCACTGGGGCCATCAAATAAACCTTCAACCGCATAAGTATGGAAATTGATATGCTTTGAGTTAAGGTAATGCACAGAGTAATTACCATAATATTACGTAGTATGAAGTGTAACTTGTTTCTAGGAGATTCATAACATCTTTACACTTTCTTGAAATTTGATGCTTTCAAAAATGTGAAGCAAGTTATTTTTGTTATTTGGCTTAACTTTACTTTATCATCCAGGACAAGAGTTGATAAAAATGGCTTGATGCTAATTTTGTAGTAGGCTTTAAGCTAAATCTACTCTTTGTTCATTGCAGATATTCAGGACCGCTCCAGATTCAAGTGCAAGCCAGTCAGACACTACTTCAACACCATCTTCAAATATACTGACCAGGCGGACTTTGCACGGCCCACGCCATTCAAGGCCCATAGCTGTTTACAATTTTTCTGTGGATCTAAGTAAAGGTAATAAAGAAATGTAATTTTCATAGAAACATGGCTTTAAAATTTTAAAATTTCACTCTGGTGCTGTTACATTGATCTGTTATTACCTTACTTGTTTGTGGGGGACAGAGAGTTACCAAACTCGATTGGGCTGTTGACTTTCTATCCTTCTCTGCAGGCAACTACCAAGTCTAAAAGAATTTCCCTTTTTGTGGTTTAGTTGGGTTGAATTCTGTCAATGCGTTTATGAGTTGTAAAGGCCATTTTATTGTATTTTTGTTTGTGGGCTGAAATGAGAAAATAACTTCTAAAAAGGACTGTAGAAGGGATTTCAATCCTATTAAAGAGCAAATTATCTAATACTAATTGTAAGTGCTGTTTACATTGCTGTTGGTTCAAGCAGTAGAGAAAGTTACTACCGACAAGCTTGGAGCCAAGGGGTGTATACAAAGGGAGATTCGACCGGTAACAAGTAGCTGATTAGTCTAGGCAGTGGTGACCTTTTTATCGATGTAAAAACTTTTCTGCGTACCAACAGCTATGTGGTTGGCTCCCTGGTAGCATAACAGCTTGTAGATGTGAATATTTGGGCAGAAAGCTTTGGATCCCTAGAAAAGAAGGAGCTGTCCTTCACTCTGTTGTAAATCAATTCAATCCTGAAAAAGCCAGTTTATTTCCCTCATCAGTAGTTGTAAGCTGTGGCTGTTAACTAATAAGCAGAGACTTCATAAATGTGAACCAGTCACTCAGTACCTTCTGCAGCAAGTGTGAGTACACAGAGAAGGAAGATTAAGGAGCGGCAAATCCTGCCAAGCCAAAAGGATCACTTTAACAAACTCTGTGGATAGGAATCTTTGACTGCCTTCCCAGTCTTCTCCTCCATCTGTGACACATGTATTTATTTCCTCTGTATGTGTGTGTAGGGGGAATTTTAGAGCAGGCTTGGTTAGTGTTTTAACTAGTAGAGCCATATGTCGATGGTTCATAATTATTTATCTGTAGCTAGAATACATTTATTTGTAGTAAAAAGTAATCATTGTTAAGTACAGAAACTTAGACCCGGGTTGACAGAAAACATGGACCAAACAAAAACCTTTAACTTCTGTGACAACTTTAGAAATAGCAGAACTTGATTTTCAGCATGCTAGCCCAAGGAGGCAGGAAAGAGGAAATGAATTAAGACTATCCCAACTCATTAGAGCCAATTTATAGAGGCTGTGAAAAGAAAGTCATTTCATCACATCAGTCTGGATTAAGTTCAGTCTAACTCTTGGATCATGGCCACCAGGTAAAATGAATCGTGCACTAACCCGCTGACCCATGTTATCCCTCGCAAATGTGCAATGTTTCTTTTAAAAAAAAAAAAAAAAAATCCTCAAATGGCTTTGCAACAGAATTTTTTTAATGTAGATGCCCAGTTTCTGGTTAGTTCCTTTGAGGTTGTGTTTTGAAAAAATTCTATAGGCTTTCACGCATTCAACTACACTTAATAAAACCTGTCATCATCTGCGCTTTGAGATTGAAATTTGGCTGTGATTCATTCACATGTTATGGACTTGAGTAGTTAGAACAGATGTCTAGAAAAGAAAATAAACCTAACCATATCCCTGCTTGTTGATAATTTTGACCCCATCTGTTGACCTTATTTATTTGAACATTAAAAGGGCCAAAGCCTTGTCAGTGGATAGGGTAATAAATTGTAAATATTAATAGGACAATGCATCCTGATGGCAGACTGCAAAATTATCATTCTAAATACTATTTTAACAGTTTTATTTTGACATTTTTGTGGAACTTTTCCCATGAAGAATTGCGTGAGATGAGAGGACTTTTTTTTGTAGTGAATTGCTGAAAGAAGTGCTACCTCCAGCCTCTGACTGAATTTCTTCCTCTGTTCTTGCAACATCCATCTAACTTTTCAATCCTGAATAAGATTCCTAATTTGCAGTCAGCCCCTTTAGCGTACAGCCATGACTTCCAACAACTTGATTGACTTCGCCCAAACCTAATTTTCAGTAGAACCGTTATGAATGGCACAGAGAGGAAACGTTAATCTCATCAGTTTGGGCTGCATTTGAATCCAAGCTCCAGTAGTGACGGACATAGGTTTTGTCCTGCATAGGACTGGAGAATCTGTGGGCGGCAGCACTCTGCCACTGCCCCAGTCTAAAACAATCTCTTTTTCTTCAGCCCAAGTCACATCTTTCTATTCAAGTTCCTTCTTTAAATGTAACTTTCCAGGTCTTCATTGACTGGCCTCATCTTCGGTTTCCATCTATTGGTGTTTATTCTACTGTCATTCTGGTGGGGCTTATGCCCAGGAGGTGAAATCTGTATTCTGCCAGTATCTGTCTACATGGTGACCTGTGTAGTATCTCTTTGTTGAAAGTCTATTTGTTTGCAAAATGTGCCACTCAGTTCCACTGTAGTCTGTTACTGAACAGGTTTCAGAGATCAGATTTTTAATATTTCAAGATCAGTAACTACAAAATGTAACAAGACAGCAAAAGACCATTGAAGTACCTACCTTTCCCTTGTAATTTGCCTTTTATCATTTCCTTTACATCTTAACAAAAAACTTCTGAACTTTCATTTAAACAAGCAAAGTTTTCATCTGTTGAATGTTTCAGAGTCAGCGTATAGTATTGCACCACAATGTAAATGACCTTCTACGTATGAAATTAAAAAGTTTTGAATTTATAAAGCACCTTCTAATGTGTTCAGGAGGTTCTAAAATATTTCACAGCCGGTTGAATGTTTTTGAATTGCAATTACTCGTTTATGCAAGAAAATGATGCATCTAGCTTGTACATGATAAACTCCCACAATCAACAATGAGATAAATGATCAATTAACCTGTTTTCTTGGTAGATTAATTTTGGCTAGGATACCAGGCAAATTACCATACACTGTAATACACTTTTTCATTCATTTGAACAGTTAAATGGCCTTTTAGTTGAACATCTCATCAGGAGTGCTTTAAGACAGTTCAGCTGTCCCTCAGTACTGAGCTAAAGTGTCAGTGTAGGTTATGTGTTGAAATCCCAGTCTGCTAACTTTAAATTTAAAAGGTGCCGTCACTGAGCTAAGACTGAAACTAAGTGATGACTCAGATTATCTTAAATTTCCATTGTGACATTTGCTTTTCTCAATTCAGCACAATAATGGGACATTCCCTGTTCTTTTCTCCCTGCAAATGATTTGAGTTCTATTGCATTTGAGGTAGCAATGTTGTACTGACATTTATTTTATAAAAGATAAATTACTTTAATTCTAATTGTTACCTTGGTTATCATTTCGGCAGTTTCCTTTGCCTTAAGCAGCCCCAATGAAAATTATTTCTTGCAAGGGTCTCCTGCTTCAGTAAGCCTGATACTTAATTAATATTTGGTATAAATAATCATTCTTATGATTGACGAACAGAATGAAAAAAGTCTTATTGTTTGGCATTCTGTTTGTTAATCACAAATCAGCTTGGATAATTGGTGTTACCCATGATTCAGATGGTACAAACTCCACTCCAGAATGTGATCACGTAATTTAGATTGACAATTCAGTATAGTGCTGGAAGAACACTGATTTGTTATCAATACTATTTTCAGATGACGTCTTAAACTATGATGTTGACTGTTTGTTCAGATGGATGTAAAGATTTCATCATAATCCTCCTTGGGATCAATATTTATATGTCAAGTAACATTATCAAAATAAGTTACAGAATGATAAGTTATCTCATTGCTGTCTTAGAGATCATGCTTTCTATAAGTTGTTTGAAACATTTGCCTACATACCACTAGTCCTGAAGTACAGTCACATAATTAACTTTGAGACATCCTAAGAATATACACAATGCGATGTAAATGTAAATTCTTTTATTTGTACGTATTCTTTCTGTAATAATTTCCATGCAGAGAAAATTTCTAAAACATTTATTAATCAATTCAAATAAGTACAACATTATTGTGTCTAATATTTGGGTGGCAAACTCTAACAATAAAGTTGTGAAAATTCAAGCAAGTTGCTGTGATGGATTTTAGAAAAAGCAAATTAATCCAGGAGGCCATTGGTATTGCTACAAGGATAGATTATGTAAAAGATTGGAAATAACATAACAATGCAGGCTCGTATTATTGACTTTGCTTGGTTGTAAACATGACACAAGCATAAAAAAGGCAACAAAGAAATAATACAATAGGAAAAAAGGAAGGACTTGATTTTATATGACCAACTGATGTCTTAAAAGTGCTTTGCAATCACTGAAGTATTTGTGTCACATAGTCACTGTTGTAAGAAAAGTAACAAATTAGTCACAGGAACATAGGCCATATTAATATGCACGAGAAAGATTGTGTCAAATTCATAATGAGGAGTACTTAACACTGTAATTGAGCATTTTTGGCATTCTGGTATGCAAGATAATGATTCAAAAATAACTCCAATGTGTGCTACATTGCAGTAGTTTTCCACAGCTCAGAGAAACCTGTTTGGCAAGACCTAAAACTTACCAAACAGTGACAGACTAATTAATTTTTAAGAAATAAATTTGATGATCCTTGGCTGACTGACTTTTTTTCATTTTGATGAGGTGCTGCCAATAAGGCAACATAATTTGATCTTTGAACGATCAACTAAGTCCTCAAGGAGGATGCATCTTAACTTTAATTTGGAGCTGTCTCTTTTGATATTAATTTAGAAGAATGAAATTGATTTATTTTGTATTCTCAGGAAGTCTTAAATAGCTTTACAACACTGAATTACTCTTGAATTGCAGTTATTCTATTTTATCAATCATTTTTCAGGATATGAAAATTACTAACAGTTTCAAACTCTCAGCCTATTCCTCGTTGGTGGTGGTGCCCACTTCAGTCTTGTGACTTTTGTTATAGTTAGGTGCAACAAAATTGTTTGTTAAGCCATTCAAAAGATAGTAAAGAGTCAATCACATCAATGTGGGATTCGATTTGCATATATAGGCCTGTCCCAATGGAAATGGAAGGTTTTCTTCCTTAGAGGGCACTAAT